CAGCAGATGGCACGGCACCCCATAATCCATCACTGGCTGGAAACTTTACACTGGACCTCAAGCAATGTGGATTCTGTGCCTTTGCTCTCTTCCTTTAGACTCTGGGACATTGAATTCCAAAGAAAATGCCAAATTTACTTTCATCAGAGATCCAGTCCTTTTTGTCTTTAGCCCAGGTGCTGTCTCTTGTCAAGAGTGTCTTGACACAAGGAATGCAACAGCTGAAACCCAGGTCTTGCATAGGTCTGTGCGTGATGGTTCTTGGAGCACCGACTCCAGCTGCAGTTTTGTTTCATGATCATCTCCAGGGTACTATTATCCCTATTGCTTGTATACTATTTTTCTACCACATCATGAGCTTCCCTTCACTTCTCTGATAATGTGTTTGGACACAGAGCTCTGTAAACAGCCAGACCTTTTGTGTCTTGCCCTCCTTGTGCAAGGTGTCAATGGTCAAGTCAGCAGTCTTCCCCATGACAGTGTAGCCTACAGAATTACCCCTCCTTTCCACTGGAGCCGTGATGGAGCCGTCAGCAGCACGTTACTGCAGCAGCACGTCATAGCTGCTGTTAGGAACCGCTGTGGTTAACAGAACCTTTCCCACCGGAGCCGTCAGCAGCGCGAGTCGGCCGCGTCTCAGGAGCAGCATGTCGCGGCCTTTACGCGCCGGTTCTATTTTCTACGCGCTACGCCTCTGAAACGGGTCAAGTTCGACATTTTTGGGGAAGGAAAGACAGGAAATCTGACGCGAAAATGAAAAAGCTTCCCGAGATTTTCAGAATAAGGAAACGTACTGCCTTCCGGTTGCTTTACTTTTAAAAAAAGTTACTAACTGTGCGGCCCCGTGAGAAGTTATCACCTACTGTAGCTAGCGGTCTCCTTTGTTTTTCAGGTCCGTATTGGCGATTATAAAATGGACAGAACATAAAACACAAACCTTTTGGAGCTATGTTGTAATTTTCTCCTGCTTGTTGTTGTGTTTACTGACGAAGTCACTCGTGTGACTTCGTGCTCTGTCGGTGACAGCTGCTCCGCTGCTGCTACGCATCTCGTGGGGAGGGCCAAGCAGCAGCTTACGTGACCAAGACGTGCTGCTGCAGTAACGTGCTGCTGACGGCTCCGGTAGAAAGGAGGGGTCAGACAGACCAATTAAAGGCTTTTGCAAGTGTTCTGAGTTAATTAGCTGATTAGAGTGTGGCATCAGGGGTCTTCAAAATTGAACTTTTTCACATTATTCTAATATTCTGAATTTGGGATTTTCAATAGTTGTCCGTTTTAATCATTAAAATTAAAGAAATAAATATGTGAAATATATCTGTCTGTGTGTAATCAATCAATCAATATACAAGTTCTACTTTTTGAATGGAATTACTGAAATAAACCAACTTTGTCTTGATATTCTCAGTTTATGACGAGCACCTGTTTATCCTTAATCATTTTGTAAAACCATACATGACTGTATCTATAACCTGTTTTTCTGACTTGAATATTAATGTCAAGCATTCTGTTTCCTATCGGCTTGAAGAAAAACTAAAATGATGGTCAAATCCGCTCTGACCGTCCCCTTCTTCCAACATTTGTTGTAAATTACCAGCTCCTTTAGCGAAAGCATCTTAAAAGGTTTCTGAGCTTCAACTCCCACACAAAACTTCATCAATCGACATCACACACCTGTGTTTAGATCATTTTTAAAAATGTTTTACATTCTTATCAGACCCGCTCAGGGATCGGTCTGAGTTGAAATCCGTTGAAATGAAGTTTGTTGTGAGCAGAAAGATCACTCAGGTGTTGTTGATGCAGTACAGAAAGCAGAAATATGCAGAATGTGTCAGGCTTTAAACCGTGGAAGATTTGTTTTCATAAAACATGATTTGTGTGTGAAGCTTAGAAAGCTTTTATACTTAACGGCAAACAAAATCCTGCAGATTCTTACAGTTTCTTTTTGGATTTCATCCTTTATTTGCTTCAATTTGCAATTTCCATCACAAGTTGAATTTAAAAATTGATGATATTTTTGTTCCACCTAACAAATACATCTCTCTTAAATATTGCATTTAATATCTTATTTGTTACATTTTCCTGATTCACCTTTGTGTGCACCTGCAACACGATAATCTTAGAAAAAAAAATACAATAATTGATGTCAGTTTGGGGTATTTGTAACCTGAAATTCAGTTGACCAGATATAGACTCACCAAAAATGTAAGTAGATAACATTTTAAAGTCTCTCAGATGTGACTGGCGGTGCACCATTTGTGTTCAGTAAAGTTTTCTTCGAATGAAACGACCTCACCTGTCTGTCCTAGAACTTATTGTTTTATAGGTTATCAGATATCAAGTATACAGAATCAGCCTCCAATGGAAGAATTTGTCTGAAATGCTCTTCAATAAAAAGCACACATAGTCCTGGACATTCCTCTGTGTTACATAATCATCACTGAATGCCGACACGAAGGGCTGTTAAATAAATTAAGTCGTGCTTGAAGTTCCCGCTCCTCGTTATGGGTCGGAGGGATGGTCATGACCAAGCTCTTTTAGGGTTTTAGGCAATCTGTCTAAGTCTCTTGGAATTCATGCACCTTGATCAGATTCCTCACACTCTTCTGATACAGGGAAAGCCTTCAACAAACACAGATAAGGAGGCGAGAAAAGATTTGTTTTGTGTGCAACATTTTTTAAATTCCCATCTTATGATTTTGTTTTCTCACACTGAAGATACATTATCAAAAACTAAAATATTTTTCTCTCAACTAATAGATTAAGCCATGTTTCAGTGAGGATCTCATTTTAATCATCATGGCAATCAAACTAATATGAGATCTAGTTGTAATAGTTGGCCTAAATTAACATGTGGAGGTTTATACAGTTGCTTTGTGTCAGGAACATTTGCAGTTTCGTGTTTTGGTCGTGGCCTTTCAGCATTTCTCTGGTGGATGGGTTACCTCATCAAGGAGAGGCTAACTTCTCATTTTAATGACTTCCAATCAGGTGAAACAAATAAGTAAATTAATCTTTAATCACAAAAATGTGATGAATGAGAGATGAAACTACAGTTGCATAAAGGTCAAGCTGCACCAGAAAGGCAGAATATGAAAATTTCCCACAAATGTTGTCATGCATGAGGGCAAAAAAACCAATGCCAGCAGAGGAAGATGATCAAGTCCAGATTGCAGCATCTACTGGTGCAGAAACCTTCAAATGTGATATTTTTTTTAAAAAAGGCAAAAAAACAAAACAATCTTTAAAAAAACCTCCATGGCAACAGTATAAAATCCAAACATGCCAATATGTGACTGGCTGCTTATACTGAGCCAGGAGCCTCTGGAGGTTTCTTCCTGTTAAAAGGGAGTTTTCCTCTCCACTGTTGCTAAATGCTTGCTTAGTATGAGGATTGCTGTAAAGTCACTGACACTAGTCACTTATTGGAATGTTTATTATGTAATGTACCTTGAGACGACTCTTGTCGTGATCTGGTGCTATATAAATAAACTTGAATTGAACTGAATTGAAAATAAAAGCTGATTTAGGGTGACTTGCTCTTTAAATTGTGACAAAATAAAGATGATTTAAACATGAGGTTATGAGTGTTCATTGTTTTTGTTGCGTCCACTTAAAGTGGGTTAGTTAAATGAAATGTCATCTGACAATGTTCATCAAATTTAATGTTTACTATATGAAATACTCTTCATTTCTTGGTTTATTTGATATATTTACTGACATTTCTGATGTCGCAGTGGCTTTGTTTTGTTTTCTATGTGGATATTATAGTCTTATATATTAAAGCTATGTCTAAAAATATCAAAGCAATATTTCAGCTGAATGACAATACATACAGATATTTGAGAAATGCTGAATGTCATCCGTTTCCAGCGTTAGTCTTTGAGGCTGATTCAGTGTTCTGGGTGTCATTTGTGGGGTGTTTCATTCAGCTCTGTCCCTCTGTCACATCTAAATTTAAACCAAGTTTATAAAACTGATAGTTAATGAGTAAAAGGCCATACTTAAAAAAATGAGCTGAAACCATTTAGCTCATTTTTGAGACAAAATTATAATTAAAATAAAGGTTTTGTTGAGAAGATGCAAAGTAAGTCAGGTGGATAAGATAAATCAGGAAGTGAAAGAATGAAAAACGATCAATTAAAAAAATGAAAATTATTTGTATATATAGCAAAAATTGAGCAGGCAAGTTAACAATCATGCAGAAAAATAATCAAAACATATAAAATGATCCAAATGGAGTTTGGGCTGCATCCTTTATCTGTGTTTGCAGAACTGAGCGAGGTCTGGCTCATGTTTGCTGGAGCACATCCATGAGTCGGTGTCCAGGTGCAACAGCCAGCTTCCTTCACAGAGTTGATGTTTCACTTAACGCCCAACAAAACAAATAATAATTACGTCGAGAACATATTTCCAGTTAATGATACACAGTCATTCCATCCATTAGAAACAAAAAGGAAAATTACAATTTAAAAATTGATTTAAGTGAAAGCTTTGGAATTAAAAACTCATGATTTGGTGTTTTTGTTGGAGGGTTGGAGGGCTGGTGTGTGAGATAGGATTTGGGTGGTCCTAGTGAGACCTGAAATAACCACTTGGGAGTTGTTTTTAACTTTTATCTGGCTCCTCCGTATGTGCTGTCACTGATCCTCTCTGTAAGTGTTAAGAAAAAAGTAACTAAATTGAACTTTAAGTGCTTAAAACAAAAGTTTTAATTGAATAAACTATGAAAAGAAGTTCTGTTGCAAAACTGTAGTCTGAGAGGAGAATCTACCTTTGGATGCAGCTATTTAAAGACCCAGCTCTAGTACTCACAAAAGTCCAAAGACCAGAGTGTTGCACTGGGAGGTGTTGGGAGAGCACAGAGAGGAGGAGGGTGAGGAAGCAGAGGGAGGGATGTGAGAGACCAGTCTGTTGGATTTCTCATTAATTCAGAGTGGCCCTCTCTTTCAGTTTTCTTAAAGCCCGCCCACTGACCATTATCAGCTTGGGCCTTATATATGCAGTCCGTTGCTGTTGTTTGTGAGTACGCAGACCTTGCAGAGAACCAGCTCCGACTCCACAGCCGGACCATCAGCCACCATGAGAGAGTTCAAGAGCAAAGAGTTCTGGAGGGCCGTCCTGGCCGAGCTGGTTGGCATGACCCTCTTCATTTTTCTCAGCATCTCCACGGCCATCGGGAACCCAAACAACGCCAACCCAGACCAGGAGGTGAAGGTGTCGCTGGCCTTCGGACTAGCCATCGCAACGCTGGCTCAAAGTTTGGGGCACATCAGTGGAGCCCACCTCAATCCCGCAGTCACCCTGGGGATGCTCGCCAGCTGCCAGATCAGTCTGTTCAAGGCAGTCATGTACATCGTAGCACAGATGCTGGGTTCAGCCCTGGCCAGTGGCATCGTGTTTGGGACGCGGCCAAATGCAACCAGTGCACTGGGGCTCAACGCTGTAAGTGTAAAAAGTCACACTGCTACAGATTTGAGACCAGAGGTGTTCTGAAACATTAGTCATGTATTTAGTTGCGGTTGTCTCAAGCTGGAGTGTTTTTATAAAGAAGCTAACTTTGTGAGTGCTGAATTAGACAAATTTATATTTTCTTTCAAACATTGTCTGATTACTTTTGGCTGAGAAGTGATGAAACGTAATTAAAGGACACCAGACTGCAGCAGCTCAGTTCATTTGTTCATATCTTCCTACCAAAGTAAAAAGACAAAGATGATCATTTCCAACTGAATAACCAATTTGTCACTGGGACATCTGTGCCAAATTGCTGTCAGCCATTTGGTTCGGAGCCAGCAGCAGCTAAATGGGGAATGGTGGTGGTGATGGGAAACCATCTATCTAAATAAACCTATGTAACAGAGTCCGGTTGTTTTTTTCCTCTTCCTCGCAGCTTAATGGTGTCACCCCCAGCCAAGGCGTGGGCATAGAGCTTCTGGCAACCTTCCAGCTCGTGCTGTGTGTTATTGCAGTCACAGATAAAAGGCGGCGTGATGTCACCGGCTCTGCTCCCCTGGCCATTGGCCTCTCGGTCTGCCTGGGACACTTGGCAGCTGTAAGTTTTTCTTCACCATCAACCTGAAAACAGCAAACTGTTAGTCTAGAATTAGGTACTCGACATTTCAGCTGAGATGCAGGATTAATTTGATGAAGATTTTCTCTCAATTTTTCTTTTTGTTGTTGATTACAGATCAGCTACACGGGCTGTGGAATCAATCCCGCCCGCTCCTTTGGTCCAGCTCTGATCCTGAGTGATTTCACAGACCACTGGGTAAGTTTACCTCACATTTCAACCCTCAACAATCCATTTACTCCCTAATAAATGATTTAATAACACATGCATCCTCCTGCACAAGTTAATTTCTTACAATCTTGCATGAGATTTCTGCAAAAGGAAACCTTTTGAATTTGCTTCATCCTGTTTTGCATCTTTGCGTTGTGCACACGACTCGGTGCAGAGAATGATCTGTTGTCCATTCCAGGTGTACTGGGTGGGTCCGATGTGTGGCGGAGTAGCCGCGGCTCTCATTTACGATTTCCTGCTGTTGCCCAAATTTGATGACTTCCCCGAGCGTATGAAGGTCCTGGTCAGCGGTCCAGTGGGCGACTATGATGTCAATGGAGGCAATGATGCCACCGCCGTGGAGATGGCGTCAAAATAGCTGCAGCTAAAACCCTTTATTACCAATGTACATGTCTAAACTCTTGTAAAATATATATGTATAAAATTCATTTGAAAAAAAAAGCTAAAACATTTCTTGAATTTTATGTATTTTAGCATTTTTGTGTTGTTTTTAAATACAAATGAGGATTTTCTACAGGTCATAGCTTGCTTTTTTTGACCCAGCACTAACTTGTCATTCTTGCAAGTTTCGATTCAAAGTCTTAACAAAGCAGCCGTTTTGAACATGTTTCCCTTATCAGTATTCTATGTTGAGCCATTTTTTGTATATTTCAACATATCTGTAACACGTTTTATTTCTGAAGGATGATGTATTGAGTGTGCACTTAAATGTCTCATTTTTTTACGTAAAATAAAAACACTTGATGTAAAAATGTGTTTTCTGTTGATTATAAATAAAGTTTTGCTTTCTTCTCTAAGCAATAGACACAAGCAACCCCTGAAATGTTTGCTCCTACGCAGAAAAAAAGAGCTGCTGTGATAAAAACGTGTATAGTGCATTCGGAATATGCACTATAATCCACATAAAGGTTAGAATGTAATTTAGAAGTAAAGTGATTCAAAATCAAACAAGGAAAATGCCGTTTGAGTTAAAAATTAACATAAATGACCTTTCACTTGGCACACCCAAGAGGATTTTCCTATTTCTTTACTTGACACAAGATGCTCTAACATATTAGACTGATGCTCCGATGCTGGAAAATAAAAGAACTAAAAGAATTGAGATCAATGAGAAGAAAGATATGTGAACGGTGATGATAAAAGAAGGCAAATGTTTACAAAGCAGATTAAAAACAGGATAAAAACTTTACATGTGACTATTTGAGCATTTGAGAAAATAGTAGTAAAAGGTTTATGTTTTTCTGTAAAATAATCTAAAGATTAATTAAAGGCAGAGACTCAAAAGTTTATGGCATCAACTGAAAACAACAATGAAGTTTTTGAATCTCAGTGTAGTTTTGGCAGGATAACCGACGCAACATTTTCAATGGCAAAAGATTAGTGTGAGCTTTTACCCTTAAATAGGAAACCGTTGTAAAAGTTTCTTTCCATTTATTGTACATAAGTTTCCATTGCAACGTTTTATTTTAGCATTTGTGGTCAATAAAGCAGTGAGTGAGACAAGATAGACAAGTAGAAATAATTCTCTTTACTCCTTATTTAATCTGCTCTGCTTTTTTCTTAAAAAAAACTTTTCAGGAAGTCTATGGAGCTAAATAAATTCTTGCAGGATGTCCTATTTTCTAAGTCGGAGCATTTGTTTTTATTCTCTTCACTTATTGACTTTGGAGCAGAAAAATAGTCGTGGGACGAAAAGCATTTACTTATTCCTGAAAGAAGCTACACATTTTTATGCCCTGAAAAAAGTGTTAAAAGTTTTCTAAAAGAGAAAGCATTGTTGTTGTTGTTGTTGCAGTTGTTGTTGTTTAATCTCCCCTGAAAACTCACAGGTTTGGTTTATTATATTGGAAATAAGGATGAACTTGCTGGTTATGAAATCCATCTGATTTTGCTTCCTAAAATGGGCGGAGCTTAAATTATTTTTATATTCAAGAGACAATATGTAATTTTTACCATTTATTTCTGGAAATAGTCATCAAAATGTTGAAAATGATGTTCAGTTGGTGAAAAATATTGGCGGCTTTGTAACATAAAACCAAAAATGTTGGGTCTAAAGTACATAGTGTGCGGGTCTTACCGTCTCTGGAAGGCATCCTTTTAGACGCCATTTTTCCATCTGGCCGGCTCGGGGTCCTGCGCCTATTGACGACATCACACTAGATGATTGGCTGCATGTACGACTTACGGAAGTTACGATACCATGTTCAAAAACATTTAGGCAGTAAGAAACATGAATTTAAACAAAACTGCTAAACTCTTTCCAAAACATATGTGAAAGAACTGAATCACAAAAAGAGATGCAATATATTTTGGCTGAGCGGTATTGTCGTAGTATGATGACGTCAGGACCCCGAGTAGATCCAGCAACTACAGCACCAGAAAACTACATCAGCATCGCATCTCTAGATGAAATTAACCGAAGGACCGTCAAAATCTGAGGAGTCACACCCAGGTTGCATAATCTCTGCTCCACATGTAACAACATTTACCGTAATGTTTTATAAACTAGCGACAGTCACAGCAATATGGTGTAAAACTTCCCTGAAATGTATGTACTGCCCCCTAGTGGCAGGAAACCACACATTGCCACTGTGCTTTTTTTCTCACCTGTTGATGAATTTAACCTGATGAATGACTTTACGTTTTCTGTATCCTTTAATTTTTTCTTTAAATTTTCTGTTTTCTCTGCTGTCTGCATCAAATATAACCCGAACTGTAATATGATTAAACGTGATCTTAAAAGTCAGGGTTTGATATTTGCAGACTGCGGAATCATCTGGGGCATTCACGACAAGGCAACATTCCCAAACTCTGAGAAACATTTGTGCTCTATCAGCTTTCACTTGTTTGCACTCCACCAAAAAGAAAAGTGAGTGACCTCTTCTGTCACTGTTTAACCTAAGCTGTATGCGCATGGATAGCCCTCCCTTCCCCGCTATGTTTTTCTATCTTGCTTATCTTTCCCTCCCAGTTCCTTTCTGCATCCACATGCAGCACACACTTCTGCATTTACGAGCCCATTAAAACCAAATGTTGATTGTCATTTATGCAGCTTAGCTCTGGGCTTCAGTGTGACATCACAACTGGAAACCTTTCCTTCTTTGAATTCACAGTTATAATTTTATTCAGCTTTCAAACTTTTCTTTTGGAGCTACCGGTTTTACAGCTACAGACGTTAGGACCCATTTCTCAATACTAATGTCACTTTTGCTAGACCCTTCACACAGTTCTCCTAACTGAGTTTCAGCTTGGCAGAACTGTTCATTTCACATTCAAAATGCACTACAACCACCAAAACACTTCATTCAGGCCTCAAATAAACTCATTCCTCCAGAACACTAGCAAAGGTTGACAGCCGACAAACACACTTTGTCACCCACAAAACAAAGACCTAAAAAACACTAACAACATGTAGCATTACATTTTCTTGTGTAAAACAAGGACACATCTCTGTTCATACTTCCAATAGATGTTACTGGAATGAATCAGACATGATGCGGAATTAGTCAATATTTCATGTTGTTCATTTATTTTTAATGGTATTTGTTTTTGCACTAAGTACTTCCAAAACACAAGACTTTGTCAACACAACATCCACTGATACAGATTCAATATGCTAATCTACTCGGTCTTCTCCATTTGGCCACAGGTTCTCATCCACACCCCATCTTATGTCATCTAGGGCAATACACCTCGGAAAGAATCTTCTGGCATGCCTGATCCATCCCTGGCAATCTACTGCTGATATGTCCAGGCATCCAGCGTACATTGCATCCAGAAGGGACATTTGATCATGTGGATGATGGTCGTACACCTTCCACCACCATGAGGCAAAGAATTCCTCTATGGGGTTGAGGAATGGAGAGTAAGGTGGGAGGAAAAGTGACTCCATTCTGGGATGGGCCACAAACCACTCTGTGACTGCATGGGAGTGGTGAAATGCCACATTGTCCCATATATATGTTGGCTGATTCCGTCTGTCCACATCCCTTTCCTCACCTAGCACAACCCTTCCATAGAGATCATGCAGGAACGCAAGGAGCCGTCCAGTGTTGTATGGCCCAATTACTGGTCTGTGTGACAGCAGTCCATCAGTGGATATTGCTGCGCACATTGTGATGTTGGCACCCCTCTGGCCCGGGACATTCACTGTGGCTCTCTTCCCAATCACATTCCTCCCTCGTCGCCGTGTTTTGGCCATGTTGAAACCTGCCTCATCCACATAGATGAAAATGTGGTGTGTTTGCATGCCTTCAATCTCCATGACTCTCTGAAAACAATCCACAAGGCAACATAAGCTGTGGCTGGTTAAACTGCATTTATGTTTCAATAACATAGTGCTGTTGGATTTTGCTGTTATATTCAGTTTTGCAGTACGTTATTGTTTTGAACATGTTTTACAGTTTTGTGAACAGTATGTAAGCAAGTGCAAAATGTCCTGTTAGTACAATGATTTTTGGCAGTTGTTGTGTCTGAGTGAGAAGGGACTTCATGACATTTGAGAGATGTAGTCACTCAGTGCATTTTGTGCCAAAGCAATGATAATTGATCCTCAGTTTGGCCCACATAGACTTCTGTTGTGCACACTGTAGAGTTTTGCAAATGTGACCTAAGTATTGAGAAATGGGTCCTAACGTCTGTAAAAAACTGTAAAGGAAGTGTTGAAGATTCAAGAATGACAAGTCCACGTTCTAAGGACCCCTTCGTGCTCGCACTTTTTGTTCTTTAAAATTCTTTATGATAATAAATGTTCTTCTATCATTTTTGACTGGTTCAAGCCAGACTTGTTCTTTTGTGAGTGTTTATGGTTTGGTCTTGATGAGGATTCAGTCGCTGCCCGCAAGTCCTCTGCCTTGTGATGCTTTATATCCTGATGGGTGGTAACAGACCATTAACAGTTCTAAGAAACATGCAAAGGGAACTGTGAGATAGCTAGATAATATGTGATTAGGAGCCTTATTTAAGGAAAACAACGGAGGTGCATTAGCAGTCTTTTCCTGCAGAGAACCACTGTCACCACGTCTGGAACATTTGAGCCCCAATTTAAACTTTTGACCTGGATTACTGGATTCACTTAGCACAGTCACCATGTTGAGTGCTTTTGTTTTTGATCCTGGAGTGTTTTCACTTGCAGATTGTGCACTATAATAATTAATCACGTTTTCAGCTACTTTCAACACATTTTAAGCACATGGAACCTTTTAAGCTGTAAGTACTATTTTACAATACTGAACAAACAAGCATCTGCATTGATTCTATTAATGATTTCATTTCATTTCTGCATGATTAAACACAAAAAAGTCAATTTTGAAATTTGGAATCCGACTTTCTGAATAGTTAGGATAACTGTTATTGCTGTGCTTGATCATGAGATCTTGTGTTTTGATAGGATTATTACTTCTAGATGACTGGATCTGTAGTTTAATGTTTATATCCAAGAGGCAAAGGGTGTCCACATCTTTGGTGGGTGGTTGGATGTGAGTATGATAAGGTGTGCATGGATCAAAGTCATTTCAATGAAAGCTGTAGCTTGCTTTGAATTATCAATTTGAAGAAAGAAATGATAAAATAAATGTATTTGTTTTATTTTAAACACTTAGCATTTACTTTATGATACGCGGCCGTCTTTGTGAATAAGATCAGATGATTTGCAGCCAAAAGATGCCAAATAAATTAGTTAAAGCTTCAAATTCCTTTTACTTCATGTAGCAAAAATAAACCAGCTCTGCACAAAAGTTTGTGTAACAGACTGATTATTTCCCCTTCAGTTGTGCAACAATCACACAACAATTCACACATAACCTGCACTTTAGTTAGTCACACAGAGAGCATTTTACTATAAGAGGTGACTTTTATAATTTTGCTTTCTGTGTTTGGTCTGCTGGAAATGAACGGCTTATATAAAGGGTAATAATGTTGTCCTGGATATGTTGTTTGCAGCCCAGACCTCAACTGGTTGTGTTTTCACAACTGCATCCTTTTTCTTCCCACCTGACACCATTTGCTCTTATATGGCACTACGACCACCAAACTATTTTTTCCTTAGTCCCAACTGACCAGATTTCCATGCTGCCTCTGCATGGATCATCTGTCAGATTATTTTTTTGTCTTGTAGATGCACTAACATGGTTAGTTTTAGTTTTTAAAACATAAAATGTTAAACATCACACTGGCATAAAAGTATCCCTAGATGAATCACACCTTATCTATTAAACACAATAAACATAGATTAGACTCTGTGTGTGTGTGTGTGTGTGTGTGTGTGTGTGTGTGTGTGTGTGTGTGTGTGTGTGTGTGTGTGTGTGTGTGTGTGTGTGTGTGTGTGTGTGTGTGTGTGTGTGTGTGAGTGTGTGTGTGTGTGTGTGTGTGAGTGTGTGTGTGTGTGTGTGTGTGTGTGTGTGTGTGTGTGTGTGTGTGTGTGTGTGTGTGTGTGTGTGTGTGTGTGTGCGCATGCGTGCGTGCGTATGTGTGTGAGTGTGTGTGTGTGTGTGTGTGTGTGTGTGTGTGTGTGTGTGTGTGTGTGTGTGTGTGTGTGTGGGTGCGTGTGTGTGTGTGTGTGTGTGTGTGTGTGTGTGTGTGTGTGTGTGTGTGTGTGTGTGTGTGTGTGTGTGTGTGTGTGTATGTGTGTGTGTGTGTGTGTGTGTGAGTGTGTTGAAAAGTAGTGTCCAAACATTCATTTTTAGTTAGTGCTAAAAGCTCAGTGCGAGTTTGCCGACTCACAATAAGAATTTTCTGTTTGATCGGCATTTGGTGCTCTTTTGCGTTCCCTGAGAGAGGAAACCTCTGCACCTGCATCGGGTTCATGAAACGCAGCTGGACAAAGGAATAACATTTCAGATTCCCTCATTTTGCCCTAAAATTGAAAAACATGTCTTTTTGAACATGTTACATGAGTTAGGTGCTGATATTAGGCACAATGTTTGACCTTTTCACCAATTCAAAAGGTCAAATTGCTCTTACATCAGCAAATGACTGATGTCAACTTGAATACAGTGAGCCCATATGTCACTAGCTTAAAATAGCCCCCCGGCTGAATGGCCTCTCTGCTGCGATAAGACATCATATGCTGACCATGAGTTAAATGTGACATTTATCTTCAGTTTTGCCTCTGCCACGCTGACTCGGTGCATGGGTAATGGTGGCGGCGCTCCCCTGAACCTAGCCATCACCCTGAACCTCCCAGTAGTTTGTGTGATCAGTGCCTTCAGAGTCTTTTTCTTCCTGATAGCTCAGATTCTCAACGCAGTGGCTGGTGCTATTGTTTATGGTGTTAGGCCAGAAACCACAGCCTCACTTTGTGTTGACAATGCAAGTGTGAATGCATGCATGTCCAATTAATGAGTTATCTAAATCACATTGGGTGCAAATATCAGCTGGTATTTGGGGAATTGTTTTCAGCCTGATCTGGTTAACATGAAGGTGGTGTTTCAGGTTCTTAGTGCTGCATGTGCATGTGACTATTTAAATGTTAAACTTGAATTACTGTTTTTGTGCAAGTAGGAAGGGATGGTCTAAGTCCTGCAGGAAATTAAGTACGGAAACAAAGGAGTCAACTCTAGGATTTTTGCAGAAATGCAAATAACTTTGTTTTCTTTTCTTTTCTGCAGACAATCCAAGATAAAGGAAGCCTCAATCACAACTGAAAACATGATTTTGTTGTCTGCTGTAGTTGAATCAGCCTGCATCAAGGTCAGAGTTCCAGCTCAGCCGCTAGCTGGTCCTGTCTGTGTAATCAGACACTGATAAAAGGCATAGCATTGGAGAGTTTGCACCTCTTGTCACGGGCTTTCCGTAGTGGCTTGCCAGGGTGAGTCACTCAGCACATTCCTTCTTATATGCTATCAATAATTTGGCACATTGTTTTCATCTGTATTGAGGCAAACACAATAGTTTGGCTTTGTATGGCCTGGCTAGAAAAGAAACTGTTGTTTTCCTCTGATGTGATTTACAGATCAGCCAGACAGGATGTGGCATCAACCCAGCTCGCTCCTTTGGGCCTGCAGTTATTCTGAAGTCTTTTGATGATGTATAAAGACAGCTGACAATGATATTTTCTGAGTTATTTTCATTTGACATGTTGGATGCGCTCTTCCCGTTGTTTGGTGCTCCAGGTGTACTGGGTTGGGCCGATGAGTGCTGGTGTGGCGGCAGCACTTGTGTGTGATTACCGACTGACTCCCAGGGATGAACTCCTCGGTGAACAAACAAGAGTCTGGTTCTGCTGCAGTTCAGACCAAGGAACAGACGCCGAACCTCTCCTCGAGGCTGTGAGGGGCAGAGAAGGATCAAAGTAGCTGGAACACTTAGTTTCATCGTTCTCTCTAATGCTCAAATCCATCCAAACTTTTATTTAGCACACCTTTTTGTTTTAGATTTGTTCTTTCTGAGTACAAACTGTCTTACATGCACCTGATTGTTGACAGAAAATAAATAAATAAATTGTTTGGCTGTTTTTACTTTTGTCGATCAACTTCTGAAACTCTTGAAGCTTGAGTTCACTGAGAAACCATTTTTTACTTGTTATTTTTTAAATATGATCAGTCGCTCTGAATGAAGTATACATCACACTGAAATGTGTTATTTGTGGAGATAACACATTAATGTTGCAGAGCAAATAGAGTCAGTGGTAAAGTCACATTGTTTTTAGCCAATCAGAGGTGAGATGTCAGAATATCAGGAAATAAGACTGCCGTCTTCTGTTCCACATCTGCTCTGGCTAAATTGTAGTTCTTAAAACAGGACCGCCAGAGCTTTTTTTCCACAGATATAAACTCACAAAGCATTCATTTATACCAGAGACTACCTGCAAATCAATTTTTAAAATGACTGAGCTTGGTTTTAAAGGTAGAATTTTTAATCTGTTGAGATTTATCTTTTTTTATTTGAAAGCCTCAGTTATGTGTATGAATTAAAATGTTGATTTACTAAATAAATGCTATAGTAAAATTTTCTTAAGATACATTTATTTATTGGCTTTAATTTTTATGTCTTGATTGAAGGAGTTGAATCTAATGTTTTTGTGAACATTAATGTGATTTATAAAGGTGGGCAGGTGGTGGTCGTCCCTGGTGGAGCCAGTGGTGTGCCCATAAAATTACCAGGGGTGGCCCTGGGCCCACTAGCCACCTAGTGGGGGGCACCACTGATGAGAATGGTCAGTATGGTTCTCAGTTTTCTCCATAGGCATCATTTTAACCGGGGACATGTCCCTGGCAAAATTTGTGATTGGCAGCTGTGTCCCCCCCACTTTCAAATAGCCTGCTGATGAGGATTTTTTTTATTTACCAGCTCAGATCTTATACCTACGTCTGCTTCCAGCAGATAGTCTATAATATACTTTTTGGGGGAAAAAAAACTTGAATAGTAATATTAATAACCACTGTACAATCACGCAGCACTGACAGCTGCATGTAAATTGGTGGAGACCCCTGTGTGAGGTTGGATAACACACATTGATGGAAATTGTGTGTATTCTGTTGGACCAGATTGCTGCCAATAAACGCATGTTGAAGAATAATCTGGTGCCATAATCTGCTTTTTGGTGAATATGGAGCACAAGAGTGATGGCATAAATTGTCCAGACCACATCTACTGAACAGATCAGAGGGTGATCTGTTACATTAGCCGTTCTCCCTTTATTTTGTTTGGATGCCTTGATGAGTCTTTTGAAGCTTAAAATAATATTAAGGGTTCTTTAGTCAAAGATGGATCAGTTAACTGTTTAATAAACAGAACAAAAATGAAAAGGGAAATAACCATTAGGTTTGAATGCACACAAATACAGATTGTGAACACACTGAGAACAGTAGAGCGATTCAATTAAATGTAGCTAAAAAAAACAATTGGTGAACCAAAATTAAATGTACATTGAACTTGATGTCAGAACTGTAATCTGAATAACTAATGCTGTTTGAGTGTGTTTGAGACAGTAAACAAGTGGATTGTGTGTGTTTTATGTATTTTTCCAAGGCAGGTGGAGAGTTAATAGTGGCCAAAGATGTACACCCGTCTCTCAGATGTACCAATGAAAGCTGTGGCTATTTATCTTTTGTCTAGCCTCTTCCCTGTGGATGTGGCAGACTGCAGTGCTGTTGAGCCTCAGCTGTGTCATAGTTGACCTCAGCTAGGTCTTCAACCATCGCAGAGCGCCGAAACTCATTTCAGCCTCACAGGATGACACTGGGACCACAATTAGCAGTCTCACCAGAGTCTCAACTTGTGAGAAGAGCCCTCTGACCTCTGGTTGCATCCCTCATATGGTCAGCCTCTTTGCAGGAAGTGTAGGTATGGTTCGCTTTAAACATTGCCAACTGAATTTGCATTTTTTTCAGGTCCAGTTCTGGGTACAGGCTCACCATATCATTGGTCTTTCCAGTAAGCAGCAGCTCCTCCAGCTTGTTCAGATTTTCCAGGCTCGGCTGGTCAAAGCGATCATGTAGCTGGGTGATCACCGTGTCAATGGCACTGAAAAAAATGGACCTGGAAATACTCCTCTGGTGTCGCAGGATTATGATGCTTGGCTGGACCACCATATTTTCTGGATGGCATTCGGACATGAGATGGGTGTACTGGCTGGAGGTCCAAGTCTGCAACAAGTTTCACAGCTTTACCATAGATGCCCATGAAACTATGATTAGTCCTGAATGAGAGAAAGCCCTGTCTGGTGTATTCAACAGCTTTCAGCATTCCACTGATGGTTTTTCCTCTTGCCTGCAGACTCAAGTTCAGGTCCTCCAACATCATGAGGATCTCTTGTCCCAGAAGGCCAAGAATGGTGTTGCCCTTTTCCAGTCTGTCAAGTAGGCCGTTAGCTTTAGAAGCAGTACTGTCAGTGAGATTTGTAGATGCCATCTCTTCCAGGGCAGCCAAGATGGACTCATATTGAGTCAGGACTGCTTTGATTGCTGGTGTGCTCACAGTCCATCTGGTGGCACACAGAGGCTTGATGGAAGTGAAGGAGCCTTTTTTTTAAATGCATATGTGTTTGAATATAGTTTTGCATTTGCCAGACTGAGCGAACAAGCAGCCCAGCTCATGTAACCCACTGCAGAGCATCCCTGATCACAGGTGTGGAGGTACATGCAGCCTGTGTGACAAGGTTCACACAGTGTGGGCCACAGTGGACAAAGGTGGCCAATGATTGCTCTCTTCTAATCTGAGCTTGTAACCCTGACAGGTGCCCCGACATGTTGGCTGCTCCATCAGAGGTCTGTCCACTTAGACCTGAGAAAGGCAGGTTTAAACGGAGCAGCACATCAGAGGCAATTTTAAAAAGGTGTTCGCCAGTTGTTGAAGAAGCCTCGTACAGTCCAACAAAGTCCTCCTTAGGTTCCAGGCCATAATCAACATACCGGAGGCATATTGAAACCTGTTCAGTGCCAGATATATCCTGGGTCCCATCCATTATCAGAGAGAACTGCAGTACAGGTAACCCATGGATTGCAGTTGTTGTTTGTCTGATAAGGTTGTTGCTCATGAACATCAGCAGCTCATTTTGACACGCAGGACTTGTGTAGGAATGATTCTTCTGCAGCCAGCTTGCCAGATTGAGGTCATTCTCAGCCTTCTCATCCAGATGCTGCTTGAAGTTTTCGTCATCGTTGTCATGACCTCTGAGAGCTAGGCCCTGTTTTGCAAGGTACCTCACTGAACTAACAGTCTCTATCATTGCTGACCTGTCCTTCTCCTGTGCACTTTCTGAGATGCTGCACAGTTGCATTCTGACTGACCTGTGTGTGTGTGTGTGTGTGTGTGTGTGTGTGTGTGTGTGTGTGTGTGCGTGTGCGTGTGCGTGTGTGCGTGCGTGTGTGTGTGTGTGTGTGTGTCTGCTCTGTCTTCTCGATCCCCAGTGAGTCGTGGAGGATGGCTGCTTATACTGAGCCAGGATTCTCTGGAGGTTTCTTCCTGTTAAAAGGGAGTTTTCCTCTCCACAGTCGCTTTATGCTTGCTTGGTATGAGGATTGCTGTATAGTCACTGACACTAGTCAGTGACTTGATGCAATTTACTGGGTTCCTTATACAGGAAACATTATTTCTGATTGGCTTAATGAACTGACCTGAATTGGAATTTTTATTATGTGAAGTGCCTTGAGACGACTCTTGTCGTGATTTGGCGCTATATAAATAAACTTGAATTGAATTGAATCAATGAATCCGGTAGTTCACGGACAGGCTGTCGGAGTGTGGAGATGACCAGAGAGTGGAGCCTGATGTAAAGATGGGTATTTTTCTCAGAAAATCTTATTATTTGACAGTCACCAATAATATAACAAGGATAGACAATATAATATAATAATAATAATATAACAAGGATCTTTTTTGCTAGGCTAGCTATGATATGGATGTAATGATTCAATTACCAACTGATGAATACTTAAATATGCTAGCCTATTTAATTGTTGTCCCTAGCAATTTTTAAACCCCACTCAAGTGTATGGTTATTGTCCCCAGCAATTCTAAAAACAAACTGACGCCCTTGGTTTTCTCACAAGTCAAGAGGCCTAACTCTAGTATAGTTGGAGTTTTTCATATATTCAAGTCTACGGGGTTGTTTGTGTCTGAAACTTCTCTCATTTTTATTTTCAAGCAAGCAAAAAATAAAATAGAAATGTGGCAAGACAACTTGGAAATCTTGGACAATGATCAAGAAGCTTTCCTGCAAAAATGTGACAAAAAATTTGGCACAATATGTTTGAAAATACTCCTCTTGTCCCAAGTGACTCGACCATTTGTTTAAAAGCTTCTTGCAATTTTATTTCACACACTGATTGAGCGTGATTGTCACAAAAATATTGCACATTTGTTGCTGCTAGCTAACAATCTCAGCCTAATGAAACAAGGGCTGATGAGACAAAAATAAATAAGAAATTCAGAGTCAGACACAAGTGCAAATACAATTAGGATCAAATGCAAACAAATATGATGCTTTGTGACTGAATTGCACAAGAACATTAGCAAAATTCACAAATGTAATAGTGGACAAATTCAATGCCATTATAGCTGAAAATTTGCTTTTTGTTGCCTCCAAGTCACCATTTAGTGTCAGGTTTGTCCTGAAAACTTAAACAAGTCTGTCATTAGCCTGATGATGTGTCTAAAACTGATTTTATTCCTAATCATGTCTGATGAACATGATGCAGGGGGTCTGTGCTTTTAATTTAAGGTTTATACTTAGCGTCATTGTTCGTTAGTGGGGCAGGGTGTTTAGCTGTTGAATATCAGATCATCTTAAGCTGTCTTAAAGGCCTCTGAGAAAAACAAGGCAAATGAAATCAGTGAAGATGACAGCAGCTCATTAACAACCCTTTTTGTTTGCTAGTGTGTGGTGCACAGCATCCTTGTAGAGTTCTATACCGCTGTCATTCAAAGTATACTCACCTCATCCATAATAGTCTTGTATGATGATTTGGACTCCTACTCACATA